TAAATCAATCAAAAATCATTAATTTAGCGCTTAATACACAAAACAAATTAAAATAATTAAATAATTATAAACAAATTTTAATTTTTCTTTCGCACCAACTTCATATTAATCACGGCTTATTTATCTTAGCAGTTGACACATCATTGAGTGTTTGTTGAAGATTTTTGCGATTTCCTCACCAAAAACCCATTAAAATGTCTTCAAGGTAGTACCATTTAATGTTCATTTCAATCTTATAACATGTTTTAGGGCACTAAATCGCAAAAAAAATCTTTGTTGACGTTGACATAACCTCACTTTTTTTTTTGACGTTTATCTGACTTATCGACTCAATTTAAAACTTAATTTATTTCTAAATATAAACGAAAATGTTATTAAACGCTAATTTAATATTAACTAATTCGATTTTATTAATAATTCAGATTAATTTAGGTTTGTTCATGTTAGTAGTTGATAACATTAAGAATTTTTGCGATTTTCTCCTCAAAGTAATTCTAATTAACTATATTAATGTTTAGTTCAACGTTATAATGTATTTTAGGTCCCCAAATCGTGCAAATTTGAAGATTTAAAAAAAAGGTGAGGAGATAGCGCCATCTATTAAGAGATGTCATAATCAAAATTTTAATTATTAAATATTAAATATCTTTGTTATTAATTTATATTTTTAGGTAAAAATCAAATGTTTTAACGAAAAACCCTCCCAGATTATTGTGGATTTATTAATTTCATGTTATAAAGTCTTCGAAGTATGATCGTAATCAATTTAGATGGCTTCGTTACGTTTAATCGCAATTAAATTGCCTAAATAGAATCGGATTTCATCAATAAAACTTCCCTCTACACATAATTAGGTGATATAAATCTCAAAATTGATTAAATTAATTTTTAAATGAATTTGATGTTGATATAACCTCAATTCTTTTTTGACATTTATACAATTTAAAATCGAATTTGTTTTTAAATATAAATAAAAACGTTATTAAACGCTAATTTAATAATGATTAATTGGATTAAACCCGCTTTTATTAATAATTAGATGTAAATAAAAAATTTTGTTTGACAACTTGATCAAATTAAAACCATTTTTTATTAATAAATTACATCTAAATATTAATAAATCAATAAAAAATCATTAATTTAGCGCTTAATACACAAAACAAATTAAAATAATTAAATAATTATAAACAAATTTTAATTTTTCTTTCGCACTCAACTTCATATTAATCCCGGCTTATTTATCTTAGCAGTTGACACGTCATTGAGTGTTTGTTGAAGATTTTTGCGATTTCCTCACCAAAAACCCATTAAAATGTTCTCAAGGTAGTTCTAATTAACCATTTAATGTTCATTTCAATCACATAACATGTTTTAGGGGCCTAAATCGCAAAAAAATTCTTTGTTGACGTTGACATAACCTCACTTTTTTTTTTGACGTTTCTCTGACATCGACTCAATTTAAAACTTAATTTATTTCTAAATATAAATTATTAAACGCTAATTTAATATTAACTAATTCGGTTAAACCCAATTTTATTAATAATTCAGATTAATTTAGGTTTGTTCATGTTAGTAGTTGATAACATTAAGAATTTTTGCGATTTTCTCCTCAAAGTAATTCTAATTAACCATATTAATGTTTAGTTCAACGTTATAATGTATTTTAGGTCCCCAAATCGTGCAAATTTGAAGATTTAAAAAAAAGGTGAGGAGACAGCGCCATCTATTAAGAGACGTCATCATCAAAATTTTAATTATTAAATATTAATAACTTTGTTATTAATTTATATTTTTAGGTAAAAATCAAATGTTTTAACGAAAAACCCTCCCAGATTATTGTGGATTTATTAATTTCATGCTATAAAGTCTCCGAAGTATGATCGTAATCAATTTAGATGGCTTCGTTACGTTTAATCGCAATTAAATTGCCTAAATAGAATCGGATTTCATCAATAAAACTTCCCTTTATACATAATTAGGTGATATAAATCTTAAAATTGATTAAATTAATTTTTAAATGAATTTGATGTTGATATAACCTCACTTTTTTTTTGACGTTTATACAATTTAAAATCGAATTTGTTTTTAAATATAAATAAAAACGTTATTAAACGCTAATTTAATAATGATTAATTGGATTAAACTCGCTTTTATTAATAATTAGATGTAAATAAAAAATTTTGTTTGACAACTTGATCAAATTAAAACCATTTTTTATTAATAAATTATATTTAAATATTAATAAATCAATAAAAAATCGTTAATTTAGCGCTTAATACATAAACCAAATTAAAATAATTAAATAATTACAAACAAATTTTAATTTTTCTTTTGCGGTCAACTTCATATTAATTACGGTTTGTTTATCTTAGTAGTTGACAGTGTTCACATCATTGAATACGATTTTTGCGATGTTCTCACCAAAAACCCATTAAAATGTCATCAAGGTAGTTCTAATTAACCATTTAATGTTCATTTCAATCTTATAACATGTTTTAGGGCCCTAAATCGCAAAAAAAATCTTTGTTGACGTTGACATAACCTCACTTTTTTTTTTGACGTTTATCTGACTTATCAACTTAATTTATTTCTAAATATAAATTATTAAACGCTAATTTAATATTAACTAATTCGGTTAAACCCCATTTTATTAATAATCCAGATTTGTTTATCGTAGTAGTTGAAAATTTTTGCGATTTTCTCACTAAAAACCCATTAAGATGTCCTCAAGGTGAGTCTAATTAACTTTTTTAACGTTTATCTCAAATTTATAATGTATTTTAGGTCCCAAATAGTGCAAATTTTAAGATTAAAAAAAAAGGTGAGGAGATAGCGCCATCTATTAAGAGATCTTATAATCAAAATTTTAATTATTAAATATTAATTATCGTTGTTATTAATTTATATTTTTAGGTAAGAATCAAATTATATAACGATAAACTCTCCTAGATTATAGTGAATTTGTTAATTTATTGTTATAAAGTCTCCGAGATGTGATTATAACCAGTTTAGATGGCTTCGTTACATATAATAGCAATCAAATTGCATAAATAGCATAGGATTTCATAAATATCATTCAATAAAGCTTCCCTTTATACATAATTAGGTGAAATAAATCTTAAAATTGATTAAAATTAATTTTTAAATGAATTTGATGTCGATATAACCTCACTTTTTTTTGACATTTATCTGACATGGACTCAATTTAAAACTTAATTTATTCCTAAATATGAACAAAAATGTTATTAAACGCTAATTTAACATTAATTAATTGGGTTAAACCCAATAATTCAGATTAATTTAGGTTTATGTTAGTAGTTGCACAACATTTAGGTTGTCTTTGGAAATTTTTACGATTTTCTCACCAAAAACCCATTAAGATGTCCTCAAGTTGATTCTAATTACCTTTTTTAATGTTTATTTCAACTTTATAATGTATTTTAGGCCCCCAAATCGTGCTAATTTTGATATTAAAAAAAATAAGGAGATAGCGCCATCTATTAAAAGATGTCATCATTAAAATTTTAATTATTAAATATTGATTTTCTTTGTTATTAATTAATATTTTTAGGTAAATCAAATTTTTTAACGAAAAACTCTTCTGGATTATTGTGGAGTTGTTAATTTAATTAATTCAAATTAATTTTTTAATTGTATTTGATGTTGACACCTCACTTTTTTTTTGACTCAATTTAAGGTCTAATTTGTTTTTAAATATAAATAAAAAAGTTATTAAACGCTAATTTAATAATAATTAATTGGATTAAACTCGCTTTTATTAATAATTAGAAGTAAATAAAATTTTTTTTTGACAAGGTCAAATTTATAAAGTTAAAATGAATTTTTATTAATAAATTATGTTTGAATATTAATAAATCAATAAAAAATCGTTAATTTAGAGCTTAATAAATAAAATAAATCAAAATAATTAAATAATTACAAATAAATTATAATTTTTTTTCGTTACTAACTTCACATTAATTATGGTTTGTTTGTTTCAGTTGTTGACAGCGTCTCTACAACATTGAGTGTGATTGTTGAAGATTTTCGCGATTTTCTCATCAAAAATCGATTAAAATGTCCTCAAGGTAATTCTAATTAACTTTTTTAATGTTTATTTCAACATTTTAATCATATAACATGTTTTAGGATTAAATCGCAAAAAAATAAGATTGGAGGTAGCGCCATCTATTATGAAACGTCATCATCACCATCAACGTCATCATTTTAAGGTTAGTTTTATTTAAAATAAATTAATTTTTGATTATTAATTTGTATTTTTTTAGGTAAGAACGATTTTTAACTCACCTCGTCGAATAATTTTTGCCCCAAATACGTTAAGCAAAAAATTTCTGCGTAACACATCGCCAAATACTCGACTAATCGCATCAAAGTGGACACTTCCGAGGTAACGGCGATCGCGTACATGATAAAAATGCAATAAAAAATTCCTAGAAGCATTTCCGGGAGTAATAGAGGCGAAAAGAAAGTTTGCATCTCATCGCAAACGTCCAATAAGACTTGATAATCTTCAACGCAATCGATTAATCCTTTTTTTAAATCATTTTTAAACGATTTTTTCGCAAAAACTTCTAAAATTTCGTTATTTTTTGTAGATTCTTTGAACGTTTCGATCGATTTTTTATCGATTCCGTGTTTTAAAAGGACGGTGTGGATCAAATTTTTTAAAGTCCACCCCAATAAAGTGAATTGCTCTGTTATAAATATCGTGGTGCATGAAAAAAACATATCCGAGTTGCCGTACGAGAAAACCATGAAGTGTTGGGTTACGATTTGTGTTAAATAAATGATTTGGTAATAAGGAGTTCGTTTCGAATCGAAAGGGTACCACAATGGCAATGGGAGAACTCTAAAAATAAATAAATAAATCGTTATTTAATAAAATAAATAATCATACCTTCCAACTTTGTGAATTTCAAACAACGGGAGCAAAGCCATGAATTGCCCCGTGAAAAAAACGCTAAAACTCCAAAGCACCACGAACATTTTCGTTATTTTAACGCAATTATTTAAGTTTTTTTCTTCAAAACCAGTTGTTGTTTTGTGTTTAAACTTATTAATCGTTTTAACGACTCTTTCTAGTTTATTTTCGCAGAAATAGAAATAATTTGTTCTAAAAATCGCAGAAAAAAATATTATAATCGTCATAATCTCAACAGCCATTTTATCGATTTCTAATTTCCCCTTCTCAAAGTTGATTAAGACCACATTAATCGCCGTTAAGATTAATCCAGAGAATAACACAATGTTTATTACGACCCTTAATAATTTATAAAGAATTTTGGTTGTTTTTGAGGCGTTTTCGTCGATTTTGTACATTGCCATGGTGCATTTTGAAACGATTAAGTTAAACTTTAAGTATCGAGGCATTTTTGATGCTTCAAAAGAGTTCGAGTTCGATTTTATACATTTTTGAGGTTATAAATGATTGAATTAATTAAAAAACTTGGCTTATAATTACTCGGATTAGGTTATAATTAAGTGGGTGGAGAAATCTTTTTAATAATTTATTCGGAGACTTGGCGGAGAAAAGTTAGATAAGAAAACGAAGTTTTAATTGCCTGCAATAACAAAATAAGACAAAAATTGTTGAATTAATTAACTTACAAAGAGAAATGTTGATAAGGCCATCGGGAAAAATTTCCAAGCTGTTAATAAAATCGGTTTTTTCAGTTTAATTTGGATGATTAAAAGGGTTTTTTGGATCTTTTTGTCGCACAAATACCAAGGGGATTTCCAAAATGAATCCAAAACCATCTCAGACTAAAAATAAATACTAAATTTATTATTTTAAAGGATAAAAAATCAAATTTTTTATTGGTTAGGTTATATTTAATTAAGATGACATTAAAAAAATAATTTTTATTTATTTTTTATGTTCAAATTCGTAATCTTGATTAAAAATCCTTTAAAATGATACCAAACTCGATGGGGTTACCTCAAAATTTGATTATTTTCAAGATGGCGGCTAAATTTTTAGGTTAACTTTGCTATTTTTAAAGATAACATCATCGAGTTTGGACTCATTTTAAAGCATTTTTAATTTTCTTTAATAAATAACTAATAAAAAAATCATTTTTTTTATTAGTTAGGTTATGTTTAATTAAGATGACATTAAAAAAATAATTTTTATTTATTTTTTATGGTCAAATTCGTATTCTTGATTAAAAATCCTTTAAAATGACACCAAACACGATGGGGTTGTCTCAAAATTGACGTATTCGATTTTTTTTTTTAAGATGGCGGATAATTTTTTAGGTTAATTTTTTTGTTTTTAAAGATAACATCATCGAGTTTGGTCTCATTTTAAAGGATTTTTAATTTTCTCTAATAAATAACTAATAAAAAATCAATTTTTTTATTAGTTAGGTTATGTTTAATTAACAATAAGATGACATTAAAAAAATAATTTTTATTTCTTTCTTATGGTCATATTCGTAATTTCGATTAAAAATCCTTTAAAATGACACCAAACACGATGGGGTTATCTCAGGATTGACGTATTCGATTTTTTTTCAAGATGGCGGATACTTTTTTAGGTTAATTTTTGTTTTTAAAGATAACATCATCGAGTTTGGCCTCATTTTAAAGGATTTTTAATTTTCTTTAATAAATAACTAATAAAAAATCAAATTTTTATTAGTTAGGTTATGTTTAATTAACAATAAGATGACATTAAAAAAATAATTTTTATTTATTTTTTATGGTCATATTCGTAATTTCGATTAAAAATCCTTTAAAATGACACCAAACACGATGGGGTTATCTCAAAATTGACGTATTCGATTTTTTTTCAAGATGGCGGATACTTTTTTAGGTTATCTTTTTTGTTTTTAAAGATAACATCATCGAGTTTGGTCTCATTTTAAAGCATTTTTAATTTTCTTTAATAAATAACTAATAAAAAATCAATTTTTTTATTAGTTAGGTTATGTTCAATGAAGATGATATTAAAAAAATAATTTTTATTTATTTTTTATGTTCAAATTCGTAATCTTGATTAAAAATCCTTTAAAATGACACCAAACACGATGGGGTTATCGCAAAATTGACGTATTCGATTTTTTTTCAAGATGGCGGATACTTTTTAGGTTAATTTTTGTTTTTAAAGATAACATCATCGAGTTTGGACTCATTTTAAAGGATTTTTAATTTTCTTTAATAAATAACTAATAAAAAATCAAATTTTTATTAGTTAGGTTATGTTTAATTAGGATAACATTAAAAAAATAATTTTTATTTATTTTTTATGGTCATATTCGTAATTTCGATTAAAAATCCTTTAAAATGACACCAAACACGATGGGGTTATCTCAAAATTGACGTATTCGATTTTTTTTCAAGATGGCGGATACTTTTTAGGTTAATTTTTGTTTTTAAAGATAACATCATCGAGTTTGGACTCATTTTAAAGGATTTTTAATTTTCTTTAATAAATAACTAATAAAAAATCAAATTTTTATTAGTTAGGTTATGTTTAATTAGGATAACATTAAAAAAATAATTTTTATTTATTTTTTATGGTCATATTCGTAATTTCGATTAAAAATCCTTTAAAATGACACCAAACACGATGGGGTTGTCTCAAAATTGACGTATTCGATTTTTTTTCAAGATGGCGGATACTTTTTTAGGTTAATTTTTGTTTTTAAAGATAATCCTATCGAGTTTGGACTCATTTTAAAGGATTTTTAATTTTCTCTAATAAATAACTAATAAAAAATCAATTTTTTTATTAGTTAGGTTATGTTCCATGAAGATGATATTAAAAAAATAATTTTTATTTGTTTTTTATGTTCAAATTCGTAATCTTGATTAAAAATCCTTTAAAATGACACCAAACACGATGGGGTTATCTCAAAATTGACGTATTCGATTTTTTCAAGATGGCGGATAATTTTTTAGGTTATCTTTTTTGTTTTTAAAGATAACATCATCGAGTTTGGACTCATTTTAAAGGATTTTTAATTTTCTTTAATAAATAACTAATAAAAAATCAATTTTTTATTAGTTAGGTTATGTTTAATTAAGATGACATTAAAAAAACAATTTTTATTTATTTTTTATGATCAAATTCGTAGTCTTGATTAAAAATCCTTTAAAATGATACCAAACACGACGGGGTTATGTCAAAATTGACGTATTCGATTTTTTCAAGATGGCGGATACTTTTTTAGGTTAATTTTTGTTTTTAAAGATAACATCATCGAGTTTGGACTCATTTTAAAGGATTTTTAATTTTCTTTAATAAATAACTAATAAAAA